TACGATATGTCTAGTGAGCTTGAACAGAAAGCGTGTATGACATGGTTGTAGTAGACCGAGAACAAGATGTTGGTGTAGTAACACTGCAGTTATTTAGGCTATACACTCTACGTAAACTTGGTCGCCATTTCAAACCAGTCATACCCTTTGGTCCCCACCTCTTCGGAAGTGGAAAGACAAAATTCGTACAAAGTTACTTGGAACTGGTGAATAATATGGGTGAAAGTGCACTGATAGGTCTCGATTACGTTGGTGAGTCTGAGAAGGCCAACCGAAGAGGTTTCCTGGAGAAGCTGAAAAGGGCTTCATTGCTCTTTGTGGATTTGAAGGAGTTGGAGCCCACAGAACCGAAAGAACGCAACCTAAAGTGGGCAGTCTACTATTTGTTAATAAAGGTTGCTTGTCTGCAATCAGGTCTTCCGCAACCAGACCCGGACGAATGTTTCAAGGAACTGAAACTTAGGACTGATGCTTTGGTTCAGAAAATCCGTTCAATCTTAAACATTCCTTCGGATCAATATCTTTTGTTGGCATTTGACGAAGTTGGTGTCCTTGACGAAAGTCTCGACGAATTTCATTTCAAGAGAACCAATGACGGTAGAGTTCGACCTTACAACGACTTTTTCGGTATCATTAGTCAATTGTGCAAAGAACCCGACTTGTTTTTTATAGTTGTTGGGAAAAGTGAAGGCTTAAATATATATAATTACGTAGCTTCAGTCTCAAGAGTTCAGTTAGTGTTTATTCCTCTTTCGCCGCTTGAGAAACATAGTATCGTGGAACATTTGGAGAAAAGTTCTTCCTTTTTATTCCCTGGGAGCCCAAAGGTTTCAGAAATTCTTTGTCACGAAGACTTCTCAACTAGTGAACTTGCAGAGTTGTTGTTGGAATTGACTGGTGGTGTTCCTGGTTTACTTGTTCGAGCAATCAGTTACCTTCTGCTGTATAAATCATCCATCAACAATTTCTCATTATCTAAGGAAACCTTCTTGATCATAATGAATAGCTTTCTAGTAACAAATTATTGTGTTGCGCCATTCTTACCTCGTCTGATAAGTCTCAGTGAGCAGCGTAAGTGCTTGTTAAGAATGCTTACGTTATTATCTTTGTATCGTATTCGATTTGATTTTGATGAAACTGTGCAAATGAGCTCAAATTCTGATGTGTTTTTGTTTGATCTAGTTACAGATATGTGTCTCTATCGTCGATTGGTTATAGACCCAGACCACAACGAACGCTATGAAGTGTTGATTCCGAAGTTACTTATTGAATATATTGACCAAGGCTTAAAGGATGATCGTTTAGAATGGTTACTTTTAGAAACTCTCAAGTCTCAATCTGTTGAATTCTTTTATGAGTCGAAATGTCGAATTTTTGAAGGTCTTATTGCTACACTGTTTTATTTACATTTTTCTCGGCATCCTACAAACAGCTCAATGTTTTCTACTCTTGGTCAATTGTCTCGTGTTTGGAATGAAATGAATTTCCAATTTTCTTCCGAATCTGCTGCTTATTATATGAAATCTATACATTATACCAGAGCTGTATCAGGAATGGAGAGAATGACATTTGGAAGCAATGAATGGGAAAGGATAGTGGAAGAAATGTTAGAATTTGGAAAGATATATATTCCATTTCATTCAACATCCCATAGTCCAGATATATTATTCAAGTTGCATGGAAGAACGAATGAGAAGAACTTGATGGTGGGTATTGCTTGTAAAGGCCGATGGAGTCGTAATGGTATTCGATGGAATGAAATTTTGGAAGAAGCTCACAAGTTTTTGAAACCGGTTCATGATCAAGTATTGACTAGTCATTCTACATGGCATTGTATGTTGATTATTATGAGTACTCAGTTAGCAACCAACGTATCTGAGGACTTGAATCATTCTAGTCGTTGTTATTCTTTTGGCGATAGTGTTGGAGATTTCGTGATTCCTCACAACTGTGAATTGGTTATTCTTTCTGAAGCCGATGTAGAAAACTTTATTGGCAAAGACATTTTATCGAATTTAAGGAACGCTTTCAAGTCTGTGGATAATCCACATTCGAGAAATATTGGCATTTCAACCCTACAAGAAATAGTTTTATCTCTTTCCAAAAATATTTAAGAATATATCGTTATTGTTCTTTAATGAATATCAATTGAGTCTTTGAGAAGTTTTCTAAAACAATTCATTTTCAAAAGTTTTCATCAATCGGGCTGTTTTATAAGACACTGTCAAAAACTATATCAAACTTTTGAAAAACTTATTCTTCTAACCACAATTTTGTGATTTGGATCACATACTCCATTGTTACAAGCCATAGAATGAGCACGAATCAATCTAACTTCCCATAAAAACTCCTTGAAACCTACCTTTTGACTATAGTAAAAGAAAGTTTCTAGTTATGATGAGTAAGAAAATATTCCGGCTTTCTCTCTAATGTTATTGTGAGTCTAGAACTGTCAAAGAGATCAGTTCTACAGCTTATCAAATAAGGCAAACGCTCAAACAATAAAACGTACATTCCTTTCACAGTTTCCTTGAAAGTTTTTCGGTCATTGTTTTCATCAACCTTTTCTCGTGAATTCATTTTGGTATAAAATGACTTGTAAAGAGATACGTATGGCGAATTTATCAAAAGGGACATAGAGTTTTATAAATATCAAATTCTGTATGGATAAAGTGGACTGGATCTTCCTATTCCTTGTGCATGAGTATTTCATCGGTACAAGAAGCAATTTTCTCTGTTCAAATTGGTAGGTGGTAATCGTGGACTCTAGAAAAGAATGCTAAAGCTCAACTACATGATGCCTTACATGTCTTCATAGTTACTCTAGATCGACATTTTCTTCTTCTTAAAGACTTGAAAGAATTCACATTATTCATGGTAATGCTTCTTTATTGGAGTTTCTAGCTATTTTGACATTTTTATCTATCCTCTTTATAGAGAACAACAACATTGCTCGGGTCATCACTTATTATTTTTAATATTTATGGAAATTTTTCATCTGCAAAAAAAGTTTATCTGACAGACTACAACAGTTGAACCGATGCTGTCTGAGGATTCAAGTTGGGTATTCTTGAATTCTAAACTTGAGCTACTTTCGGAATGAGATTTGGATGGAATTCGTTTCCGTTACAAAACGTGCAAAATGCATTCGTTTTGGGTAAATTTGTATCCATCACTTTGATGTTTAGTACTTTTTTTGATGGATATGAATCTCAATAGCAATAGTTGACTCTTTTTTCTTGTTTCAGTGTCCTTTTTCAATTCATGGATTGGAGTCACACAAATATGGAAATTGACTTGCAAGATAATCTACATATTCCAAAGCAAGATAGAAATCTGTTCTAAGGGTATTCTTGGTAACATTTCCGAAGACCATTCTGAGATGGCATGAGACTTCAAAAGTACTCTGGGATATTTTGGATAATAATTCTCACACTATTCATAGACTATCGACGTCAAAAAAAAAGTCAACTTCCAACTTGGTTATATGTTGCCCATTTAAGGTTCGAGGTTAGGCCCTCTTAACCAGAAGTTTCTTCTGCTGAGCTGCTTTGCTCCAACACAAGGCTCTATCGCAACATCGTGGTATCATTTCAGTCTTCCGTCTTATATGTTGTATAGATATGGGGACACATATCTTCTCGATCTATATTTCAAAGTCAGCGAAATCTGCACTAGGCATCACTGCT